AATTCTTTTGATTTTATTTTTCTATTTTTTCTGTTTTTAGTATCTTCAGTTTCTAATAATTCACAAGAGCTTTACACTATGTAAAAAAATACAATTGTTTTGATATTAGAAGAAACTTTTATTATTCCATGTACCTTCTCAACGAATGATCTCAGTTTTGTTTTAAGAATGAAGAAGAGAATGCAGATTATGCGGAGAATGAAGTTTATAAGAACTTACGCGCTCAAAATGTGAAACCGAAGGTGGTAGTTGCATTGATGGAATTATACGAGGCAACAGATATGACACCTGAGGATATAGATGAACGTGCTTTAGAAATGATAAGATCGTTGCCGACTGATCATGCAGAGTTTGTAATTAAAGAGGTTTTTTTTGAGATTTTTTAGGGAATTTAAATATTTAAGCGAAGTTGCGTTGTGTAACTAGGCACCGTTTTATAAGTTGCCTTACCTGTGTTTCATGTTTATTTGTTGAACTAAAAAAAAGGCTTCTTATTTTTTTTGAAGGAAGGAGATTCATTCAAACTAGACTCTTTTTGTTTTAGATAAAAGATTCGAATTTATTGGGCGTGCAGAACAAAGCGCAGTTTATTATGTCAACTGTTCGGAACTTCCGTGATAAAGTGCGTCAGCTTGGTACGCAAGCAGCGCTTTCTCAGCCCTTAATCAATGGTCCTTCAGCTGAAAAAATTAAAGAGATATTGAACCGGACTGGGTACCCACTTGAGGTAACCCAAGGGCAACGAAAATATGGCGGTCCACCTCCAGATTGGGAAGGACCAGCCTCAGGCCCAACGGGAGCTGGACACGAGGTTAGGAAATATGTCAATTTCACTGTCTCATCAGTTCGATGGAAGTTATTTTCCGGTTTTTCTTTTTTTGGTCCGCCCTGCACTTTATTAGGTGTAGTTCATGAAATCAGTCTTTAATTGTCCTCTCATTTTTGGTGGCAGTAACTTTTACGATGAAGCGAAAGGAGTTTTTGGGGAAGGTGCAGAAATGAGTTTTAGATTGAGGAAAAATGTTGCTTTAAAGAATATTGGCTAGTTTTGGAATGCCTAATGAGTTTGGGGGTGAGATGTGCGGGTCCGTTTTGTCATTATTCTTTGCGGGAATGAGTGTTAAAAGTACGCCACGATCTCTTTCACAGACATCTATTTACATCAAAAATAGCTACAGGATACAAGCATCATTTAAGTATGCGTTTTATGGAGTATGGCCAGATTGATTTTACTCGTTATAGCGAATTAATTGCGTCATACAGATTCTAAAATTGCGCTGAGAGTTGGAGTCGTGGGAGATTACCAATAATTGTATTAAGGCAATGCGATTGTTCTCCGTTTACACGAAGAAGCCACCTTCGTGTGGACGGGTTTCGAACTTAAGTAATTTATTATATGTAAGATCGGGCTGGATCGTCTAACACCAGAGTTTTATAAGGATGGAAGTGTTGATGTTTATTTCTCTGCATACTCAGTTGCCGAAAGCTAATAAAATCCAAGTGGTTCATATTAGTGTAGTAAGTCACAGGTAGTTATATTATTTTCGTATAAAGGTTCTTCCAGTGTTTGAACTTTTATGTGTAATGGTTTAGGGATTTAAAATTTAACTTTAATTACAGCTTACAAGTATAGGTTATGAGGGCTTATTGGGAAATCAAATCATCTATATGAATTATTTTAAAAAGTTCAATATCTCGTGAAGGTGTAGCATACTCTGCTTCGGGAATTTAATTTTATTCTGATGAAATTGCGGTTTAGTAATTTTGTCTTTTTTGTCATATCCTGATTAGTATTATGAATACATGACAAAAGAGTGCAAATTAAAAGGTATTTACTAACCAATGAAGGGACTTGATTTCACTGATTAGTAGGCTGGATGGGAAGTTATTTTGCTCGTATTGACATTATTTAGCAGAAATAATCCAGGGTTCACTTTGTAAGTACTCTGCTGGGCAGTAAGGATGAATAAATGAATTTAAAAGTTGTATTTTTTATGTTCTTAAGTAATTCTTTTTAGTTGCATTCAATTCTTTTTGGTTTGCTAGGAGGTTTTGCTGAAGCTGGGTAAAAAAATGGAAATTGAATTTTTCCTGAGCTTTTATTTCAAGTGTCGAAAAAAATTACTTGTTTGGCGAGGCGTTTTAATGAGGTACCGCTTCTAACGAATCATTTAACGAATTTTATGGGACCCTTTGAAGAATTTTATTATATGATGGTTAGAATGTAAGGGTCTCTTAGCAATATTAAAAACGTAACATTTCTTCCGTAACTGATGGTTAGCGAGGAGATATTTTTAATGAATACGGCTTCTGACAGGCAATCTTTTCAAAAACTTTGAATTTCCTATCGAGGTGTCGTCAACTATTCTTTTAGATTTATAGGATTTCATAGTCAGTTTAGTGTGTGTTCCAAAAAGAGAGCGTTCGGAGATGGAGACTAGTCATTCAATGTTCAGTTCACTTCTGAGGGCAATAAGTTGAATCATTCTTTAAATTTTGTTGACGACTTCAGCAAGTTTTACCAAGCCGTTGGCGACTGATTTAAGCTCGAAGCCTCTTGTTTTTAAAATTAATAAATATTTAGTTACTATACTACAGCAAGTTACTGCAGACACACGGCCAGTTAACCGCGAAAGCTGCCTCAATGTCCTCAATGTCTTTTTCGCTTTAACCTCTGTTTCGCGAAAAAATGTCGACGTTCTTGATATGTTGCAGATTTGATGGGTAGTAGTAAAAGCACAAAGTACAGAATTAAAGTCTTTCCAATTTTTTACTGCCACTTGAGCAATATTTCCTGTAAACCAGTTTTTCTTTTTGATTTAGGTGCGATAACAGGTGGGCATTGAAACCCCTGTATACTTTTTGAGCTATTTCCGGAGAAACTGCCTTGAACAGTAATCGTGCGGCTTTCCGTGACCTCCAAAAAACGTCTTCCTAACAAATACACGGAAAAGGCCATCGAGTTCGATACAATTTACGGTTTATCCAAAGCTTCGTTATTACTTACCACCACATGTTTTCGACGCACACTGAAATAGGAAGGAAATTACCTGCTTCACAGTGCAAGTTTGAGAGATCTTCAGCTTCTTTGGAACATTCGTGGGATTTGTTTTGGTGGTCGTTTGTGGGTTTGCTGTTATGGCTGTGATTCAACTGTCCAGTACCGGTTAGATTCAATGAGTTGAGAATTGGCAGGTAACTGGACACTCTATTTGGTCTTTTCGGGTTACTCGTGGGCGATGCGGTAAATTTTGTGCGGATTCGTTGTTTGTTAGCAACTAGCCTGTCAGCATTCGTCTTGCATCTAGTAGGACTAGCAAGGGATCTCTTAGCGCCTACGTGGACCTTTAAGATGGCATAAGCCGGAAGAGACGCTGTATATTTGCTCGGGTAAATAATTTTTTGAAGTGAAAATGATCTTGCCAAATAGGAACTGAAAATCAATTAAATTAGCAGAAATTTTGTCTATCTAGATTAGAGTCGGCGGAAGCTGTCTGTAATTTTTTTTGATATCAAGAAATCTCTTTTTCTTTCTGTAAGTAATTTTTTAGATGTTTTAGAGTGTGATAGATTGAAAGAGGTAAGTTTTGGGATTTTTGGCTGGGTCAAAATGTTGAAGCTTAATTGACGAGTTTTCTCTAGACCTTTAGTTATGTCGTCTAATCCAGATGCCTTTTAAGTATCTGAAGCTATTATTTTTGGCATTTGGGAGCGGGGCTTTGCTGTTATTACTCGTTGATTGGAGGTTCTGTTTAGTGAGTAGTTGCTGTTCGTGATCAAGGGATAGTGTATATTGTTTTTTTTCATACAAAGGGTTTTGGGTGTATAAGTTCCTCTTAACAGTTGTGTGGCTTTCATCAGTTACTGCGACAGGCTTTTTGGTAAACAGCTGGAGTTCTAGATTGATTATTTTTCTACTGAAACGGCAAGGAAATGCAGTCCTCGACTAAAACAAAACTTATGAGCACTGCTAAATTTAGGTTTTTCTCAAATACTAATTTTTTTGGCTTCATGGATTCTGCATAGGCGATTGGAGGCAGATTTACGTATATTTTGCTCTTCGAGTACCTTTCATTCTGTCTTTACCTGTGAAGAGTTTCAAAATATCTGTTTTTTTTTTTTTT